GGGCGGCCGAGTGCGGGGCGGGCCTGAGACGCCCGTGCACCCTCCTTCCCCCTCCCAGGTGCCGGCCAACCCCCAGGATGGCGGAAGCGCACCAGGCCGTAGCCTTCCAGTTCACGGTGACCCCAGACGGGGTCGACTTCCGGCTCAGTCGGGAGGCCCTGAAACAGGTCTACCTGTCCGGGATCAACTCCTGGAAGAAACGCCTGATTCGCATCAAGGTGGGCGCAGGTGGTTTTCCTGGCCTCTTCCTCCTTGCAGGTGCAGAATAGAGCCTTCCAGCGAGGCAGAGGCCAGGTGTCAGCTGCTGCCCCACTGTCAAGGGCCTCCACCCACACCTTGGCTGGCAGTTCTGCTGGGTGACAGGATCTACCAGTGCAGAAACCAGAGGGGTGCTCAAGGTGTGGAGGGGAGACGGGCGTGCAAGAAGTGGCAGTGGGACACAGTGAGTAATCAGGCGCTGCAGGTGCGGGAGTGTGGAAGCGGTAAGACCAGACATGAAGGAGGAGTAAGACCAGCAAGTGAGGAAGGGAGAAAGCCTCCCAGGCAAAGACCGGGACCTCATAGGTGCCTGCTTATCGCAGTGCTTCCTGCTCCGTAAGCATGCCTATTTCTGCCCCACAGAATGGCATCCTTAGGGGTGTGTACCCTGGCAGCCCTACCAGCTGGCTGGTTGTCGTCATGGCAACAATGGGTTCCTCCTACTGCAACGTGGACATCTCCATGGGGCTGGTCTGTTACATCCAGAGATGCCTCCCTGAGGGGTAAGAAGCGAGGCCATGAGAGAGGGCCGGGTGGGCTCCAAGGCCGGGATTCCTGAGCTAGGCAGATACAGGACAATAGCCATTGGAGGTCATAGGGGCAGTCTTCCCCAGGGACCACCATCATCTCAGTCCCACATTCGTAAGTGATACACTCAAATGTGAGTATGCCCAGGGAGGTTCTTTTTGTTTATTTATTTTTTTGTGTGTGAGGAAGATCAGCCCTGAGCTAACATCCATGCTAATCCTCGTCTTTTTGCTGAGGAAGACCGGCTCTGAGCTAACATCTATTGCCAATCCTCCTCCTTTTTTTCCCCAAAGCCCCACTAGATAGTTGTATGTCATAGTTGCACATCCTGCTAGTTGCTCTATGTGGGACGCGGCCCCAGCATGGCCGGAGAAGTGGTGCCTCGGTGCACGGCCGGGATCCGAACCCGGGCCGCCAGTAGCGGAGCGCACGCACTTAACCGCTAAGCCACCGGGCCGGCCCCAAGGTTCTTCTTCTTTGGTGCCTCCCGCAAGATAGTTCACAACCACCAAAGACTACAGAGTCAGAATTTCCCCAAGGCTGGCCTTGAGTGGACCCCCTCCAGCTCTCTCCCTTTCTTTGACAGATGTGGCCCCTACCACACCCCCCAGACCCAGGCGCTTCTCAGCATGGCCGTCTTCTCCACGGGGGTCTGGATGATGGGCATCTTCCTCTTCCGCCAAACCCTGAAACTGCTTCTTTCCTACCACGGTTGGATGTTTGAGATGCACGGCCGAACCAGCCACTTCACCAAAGTCTGGGCTGTGAGCAGAAGCCAGTGGAGGGCTTCAGGCATCTGGTTTGAGACCCCGGGGGGCCTTATTTGGGGTTCTGAGCTGGAGGGGAGAGCCATTTGGGGCACTGGTCTCTGGCACGTGGTTTGTCCTGGTTCTGTGAGTCTGGGGACCAACTCCTCAAGTGTTTGCTAGTTTGTTTCCATTCTTTTCTCTGGCTCCACTCCAACACTCTCTGCTCTGTACTCCTAGATCTGTGTCCGCCTTCTGTCCAGCCGGCAGCCCATGCTCTACAGCTTCCAGACATCTCTGCCCACACTTCCCGTGCCTAGTGTGCAGGCCACAATTCAGCGGGTGAGGGCCTGGGTTGGGCATCCCAGTGGGCAGAATAGGCTGGACTCAGAGAACTTGTCCAAACATAAGGGACTGACCCCTGCAAAGAGTGGGCCTGAGAGCAATGGACCTGGGGTCGGAACAGGGTCAGGACAGAGGCAGCCATCGCTGTCTGGGCCCCACACTGACAATAACCTGGCTGGACAGTACCTGGAGTCTGTGCGGCCTTTGTTGGATAACGAGGAATATTACCGCATGGAGACGCTGGCCAAGGAATTCCAGGACAAGACTGCCCCCCGGCTGCAGAAGTACCTGGTACTCAAGTCATGGTGGGCAACTAACTATGTGAGTTTCCCCTCCCGGGCTTACCCTCACCAGCCTGTGTCCTGGCTGCCCATACCCTGCCCTGTGCCCTAGCTCTAACTTCCCACCCACCTACAGGTGAGTGACTGGTGGGAAGAGTACATCTACCTCCGAGGCAGGAATCCCCTCATGGTGAATAGCAACTATTATGTCATGGTAAGAGCCAGAGCCACGGGGGCTCTTGTGTGTTCAGCTGTGTCCCCAGCTCTGGGTCTCAGGGCAAAGGACCTGGAGGACAGTCCAGAGCCCTGGTGACAGTTTCCACAGGCAAGTGGGGGTTCTAGAGTGAGGCCTGAGGGAAAGGGAAGATGGGAGAGATGCTAGAGGAATAGTCAGGAAGCAGCTTAGGGGTGATGGGGATACTGAGCATTGGAGAATCCAGTAGACCCACCACCTGACACTGTTGCTCTCAGAGTCCCTCAGGCTCACTGCCCTGCCCAGCTCAGGCTCCATCACTTCTTTCCTTGGTTACCTTGCTGGCCTCCCGGCCATGGGTTTCTAGCTGTCCTGACACCATTACCAAGGAACTTCCTTAAACATGCCTTTCTTCGTGTCACTCTGTGGATCCAGAGCTGCTTCTCTTAGAGCTCAGGTGGTCACTCTCGGCCCCTACCCCATGTGACTGGCCCTTCTCCTGCTCCCAGCACAAGCCTGTGCACAGGCAACTGGGTCTTCCTGCCACCCAACCATGGTCTACACCATGCACCCCTCTCCTCTCCCACTGTCCAAAGCACATTCTGAGTAGTGTGCTAGAATCCCCCTCTTCCATAAAGCTGTTCTCACAGAAACTTATACATAACCTGTCTGTACCAGAGGTTTTAAGCTGCTTTTTAGTTGTGGGAACCACTTTCTCAAAGCAAAACAGGAACAAACGAAATAAGTTATGGAACAGCAGCTCAGGTCGAAGCTGGGGCGGAGGAGTGACGTGACCAGTTAGACATTTCGTCTCTGCAGTTCACCCTGATAGCATGTGCATGACAGACGGAGGGGCAAGACACTTCCAGTCCTCGGCCAAGGAGACCCAGGTGACATCCTGGACAGAGAGGTACTGCTGTGCACACCTATCACAGCCACCCTGCAGGCTCTGCTCTCTCTCTGTAGGACTTTGTGCTTGTCAAGAACACAGACGTGCAGGCAGCCCGCCTGGGAAACATCGTCCATGCCATGATCTTGTATCGCCGTAAACTGGACCGTGAAGATATCAAGCCTGTGAGTTGTGTTGGGGTTGAGGGCACGACAGGGGGAGGAGGCTCGCATCTGAACCATGCTGGGCCTTCCCTCCAGGTGATGGCCCTGGGCATGGTGCCCATGTGCTCCTACCAGATGGAGAGGATGTTCAACACCACTCGGATCCCAGGCAAGAAAACAGGTACTGGGCGCCCATGGTGGGGCCGCTGGGATGGAGCCCCATCTCTCCCAGCTATGGGCCCACCATGGCTAGGCACCCTACTATCTGCTCGTCACCAAGTGTCCTCGGTGACTCAAGGTTGTGTAACTGTGAAAAATAGTCAGTTTGTGACCAATACTAGACACCTACTATTTACAGGCATGATGCTAGTGCTGGGACCCTGAGGGGCCAAGAGCAGAGCCCCTCCCCTCCAGGCGGCCCCTCCCCTCCAGGAGCTCCCAGTGCAGGGGAAGGTAGTCTTCTTATGAAGAGCAGCAGGAGAAGTGCTGCTGCTTTCGTGGAGCCTGTAGAGGAGGTGGGTGGGCTTGCAGAGGGGTCTGGCAGGAGCAGCAGCCTGCATTTCTGACATTGGGACAGTTTGTGTAATATTCTTGAGCTTCGGTTTCCTCTTCTATGAGATGCCTCCTAGGACTGTTGCTGGCATTAAATGAGAGGTATGGAGGCACTTAGCACAGGACCTGGTTAGTGCAGGTGACCCTGCCCCGCACACCCAGGGGTGCAAGGCTCAGGCAGAGGCCTGGCCAAGCACGGTCATCATGGGTCACTGTGCATGCGGTTGGTGGGCCCATTCCAGGGCAGAGTCAGGGCAAGGGAGGTTCCTGCTGTCCTGCCTTAGCCTGCCTGCTGGCCTCTGTCACAGACGTGTTGCAGCACCTCTCAGACAGCAGACACGTGGCTGTCTACCACAAGGGCCGCTTCTTCAAGGTGTGGCTGTATGAGGGCTCCCGCCTGCTCAAGCCTCAGGACCTGGAGATGCAGTTCCAGAGAATCCTGGACGACCCCTCCCTGCCTCAGCCTGGAGAGGAGAGGCTGGCGGCCCTCACTGCGGGGGGAAGGTATTGGGGCCTGTGGGCACAGACTGTCCTGGCTGAGGTTCAGGGCCCCATGAGGAGGGGAGCTTGGCCCTGCATGCTGCCCTAGAACTCAAGGCCAGAGGCATGACCAAGGGAAGGGCGTGCTGGGCATGGAGTCCTCTGTCCAAATCTAGACCCCCAGTAGTGAGGGGCACTGATGGTAACCTCAGTGGGGTAGCTGCCAGAACCCGCTGCACTTCTGTCTGCGCCCACTGGGTAGTGGTTAGGTGGGAGTGCGCGGAGGGCAGGGACACCTTCCAGGACAGCCTGGCAACCCCACCCTACCCCAGCTCCAGGCCCTGCCAGGTCCTGGGAGGTACCCTGGGCCACAGCCCGCAGTGACCCCGCGGCTCGCCCTGCCCTTGTGCCCCCAGAGTGGAGTGGGCGCAGGCACGGCAGGCCTTCTTCAGCTCTGGCAAGAACAAGGCTGCTCTGGATGCCATCGAACGCGCCGCTTTCTTTGTGGCCCTGGATGAGGAGTCTCACCACTATGACCCTGAAGACGAGGCCAGCCTCAGTCTTTACGGCAAGGCCCTGCTGCACGGCAACTGCTACAACAGGTGCGGCGCAGCCTTCGCGTGACCTCTCGGGGCTCCTCCACCTGCTTTTGCATCATCGCTCCCTCTCTTGCTCCCGCAGGTGGTTCGACAAGTCTTTCACTCTCATCGCCTTCAAGAATGGCCACTTGGGCCTCAACACAGAACACGCGTGGGCAGATGCCCCTATCATAGGGCACCTCTGGGAGGTAAGAGGCCCAGAGAGGAGTCCTGCAGGGCAGGCTCAGCGGGGGGACGAGGACCGCCTCTTAGCCTGGCCTTCTCCCTGCAGTTTGTCCTGGGCACTGACGCCTTCTACCTGGGCTACACAGAGACTGGGCACTGCGTAGGCAAACCGAACCCTGCGCTGGCACCTCCTCAGCGGCTGCAGTGGGACATTCCTGAGCAGGTGTGCAGGCCAAGAAGGGGCAGGGAGGGGCTTGTGAGAGTGACAGGTACCTGAGATGCTCTGCTGCCTCCTCCACTCTGGCCCATCCCCACTCTCACTGGGAATGGATAGGAGCTTCTGAAGGGACAGGTCCAGATTGGCCACAGGGAGAACAGAGATCCTGAGGCCATCTGGTGGTTAGAGAAAGATGTGAGGTGGGAGCCTGTGTCCATGCAGCCCCTGTCAGCACCTCCCTCCTCCCCACAAAGCCCAGCCTGGCCTCTGGTGGCTGATACCCTCAGGTTGTCATTTGTGTCCCCTCCTCCTTAAGTGTTGAAGATACACTGAGATTTTCATCCATTACTCAAACCTCAGGCCTCTTAGACAAGACCCTGGAGTCCTGCTTGGAGAGCTCTGCCCCTAGCTGACCCTTTCCATGTCTCGACAGTGCCAGGCAGTCATCGAGAGTTCCTACCAGGTGGCCAAGGCACTGGCAGACGACGTGGAGTTGTACTGCTTCCAGTTCTTGCCCTTTGGCAAAGGCCTCATCAAGAAGTGCCGGACCAGCCCTGATGCCTTTGTACAGATTGCCCTGCAGCTGGCTCATTTCCGGGTAGGAGCCCCGCCAGGCTGCTGAGCGGGCAGGCGGCACCGGGGCCCACCTGCCAGGTTCACCCCTCTGTGTTCCCCAGGACAGGGGAAAGTTCTGCCTGACCTATGAAGCCTCGATGACTAGAATGTTCCGGGAGGGACGGACCGAGACCGTACGTTCCTGTACTAGCGAGTCCACAGCCTTTGTTCAGGCCATGGTGGAAGGGACCCACATGGTGAGCCCCCCCATGGCCACGTGGTGACACCTCCACCCCTAGGGGTCATGGCTACACTGTGAGGTGACCCCTCCACCGCCTGCCCACCTTCAGGGTCAGGGCTACTCTTTACTGCTCCACTTCTGCCCCCTCAGAAAGCACACCTCCAAAATCTCTTCCGGAAAGCTTCTGAGAAGCACCAGAATATGTACCGCCTGGCCATGACGGGGGCTGGGATCGACAGGCACCTCTTCTGCCTCTATGTGGTCTCCAAGTACCTGGGGGTCAGCTCCCCTTTCCTGGCTGAGGTCAGTGTTGTTGACAGGTGTGTCCTCTGTTCCCATGCCCTCTCCTGATGGGTCTCGACCTGTTTTCTGTCTGGCCGGCTCCCCTGAAGTTTCCCACTCCACACCCCACCCAGGCCTGTGGTCCTGGCACTGAGTAAGAGCCTCCCCTGTGGAGCCAGTGTTCTCGTGAGTGGGGAGGGACAAACAAACGTGTGATATGTCAGGTGCTGACAGGGCTCCTGAGAATAGTGAAGAGACTGCAGGCAATCAGGCTGGGCAGAGTCCAGGTGGAGGGAACCTCCATTGCCCAGGCCCTGAGATAGGGGTGTGTGGTGTGCAAGGAACAGAGGAGGGGAGGGGGCAGGGCCGAGGGAGGGATGGGGTTGGAGGAGAGGAGGCCAGAGGGACCAAGAGGTCGTGTGGGCCTTGAGACTCGATGGAGGGTTTTGTGCGGACACTGTGACGGGGAAAACAGACCCTAGGGACCAGGGGCAGCAGTCAGGAAGGTCCTGCACTCCATTCACTCCTGCCTCCTCTGCCAGGACAGTGGCTGGCTCACGCAGGTGCTCAGGCACCACCTGTGGGCAGGTGTGCGCTCAGTGCATGGCGTCTGACCACTGCGACCTCCCTGTTGCAGGTGCTCTCAGAACCCTGGCGCCTCTCCACCAGCCAGATTGCTCAATTCCAGATCCGCATGTTTGACCCAGACCAGTACCCCAATCACCTGGGCGCTGGCGGTGGCTTTGGCCCTGTAAGTGCCTTGAAGGGGGCGGGCAGGCAGGACCAGGGCCCAGGGGTTTCAGTGGAAAGTGCAGGGCCTCAAGGAGGTCAGACTAGAGGCAGGAGCACAGCCCTGGACCTGCCCTGCATGGAAAAAGAGGGTAGTTGTCGACCGTGGCAGACAGGTGTCTGGGACCCCACCCATGCGAACCCCCGCTGGAATGTGACCATGCCCAGCGCTAGTCTCCCTTCTGAAGTGTGCTTCCTGGAGAGTACAGCTCCCCCACCAAGACACTCACATGGGCTGGTCTGTTAGGGAGCTAGAGATGCCCTGCAAAGAGGTGGTGATCTTGAGCCTCCTGAGGGAAAAATGAGGTTCTGAATCCCTGGGTGGGGTCTGGAACTGCATGGGGCAGACCTCTTTGGTGCTCACACTGTTTCCTGGGGGTGGTCCTAACCTCAGGAAAAATGCAGTGTCTGGAGGTGGGGCCCCTTCCTGCAAATCCTGTGGGGAGGGCAAGGATAACATCAGCTTGGCTTTCAGATCTTCAAGGTTTGGTTTACTTCTTCTTCTTCACCCCTCGTGCTGCCCTCAGGTAGCAGATGATGGCTATGGGGTTTCCTACATGATCGCCGGCGAGAACACCATCTTCTTCCATGTCTCCAGCAAGTTCTCGAGCTCAGAGACGGTGAGTCTCTCCTGCTCCTGCTCAGGCCTGAGGAGGGGGCACCACCTGGGGCCCTGTCTGGCTGGGAAAGAGTCCTTGCTTGTGGGGACAGAGGGGTAGGGGGCTCACCTGGAGGTTGGTCTGAGCTCTTGGCTCCCACAGAATGCCCAGCGCTTTGGGAACCACATCCGCCAAGCTCTGCTGGATATCGCTGATCTTTTCCAAGTTCCCAAGGCTGACCGCTGAGGACTGGAAAAAATGCCAGCTGCCCTTTTCATCCCCAAGTTATGGAGGAAGGGGTCTGTGGTTGTCTCGCAGGCACAAGGGATGGCCGTGCACAGGTGCCGAGGTTCCAAGGACAGCTCTGGCAGCAGGTGCTCCCCAGGCAGACTCTGCTCCCTGAGGGCCCAGGTGGTGAAGGTGGGGTTGGAGTCGGGAGGGAATTTTGATTTTTTTTTTTTTTTTTGCTAAATACCAATAAAAATAAGGCTGTGTAATTCTCTCTTAGCACTTAGGTTCCTGTGTTTTCTTTGGGAACTAGGGGGCCCTCCTCCTGCCCCAGCTCAGGCCAGAGAGAAGACAAGAGAAGGGCTTGGCTGGGAGAATGAGAGAGGCTTGTAACCTGCTTTGAAATGTGTGTCTCTGCTGTGGTCACTGCCTATACCCACATGTGCACTTGGAATAAATTCTTGCTTCAGAACCTTCACCTGTTCCCTGGGGCCACTTCTGTTTGTTTGTCTGCCAGAGAGGAGGGCCCACCTGCCTCCTCCATGCACATGCATGCACTCTGCACCCCTCTGGGCTGGAGCACAGCCCTGTGGAGGCCCTTGGCCTCCTCCTGGGCATAGGGAGGGGCTGCAATCCCAGGCCTGAGGTCTGGGTGCCAGGTGGTCATGTCTATGAGAGGGTACACAGGATAATCTGGAACAAAATATGCTCCTTCCCTCGGTTTCACTTTTCTATTAAAATAACATTAAAAGTAAACAAAAAATAATTTTTATGGAAAGTGTATGTAGGCACTCAATTATTATTGCTGCATGCTTGAATGAACTAGATCTCAGCACTCTGCTAGGTGCTGAGAACCCAGAAATGAATCAGATACAGTCCTGGGCCTTGTCTTAGGAACCAGGGTTTTTTGAGGACCACATCTACTTGGCTCTGTGCTGGAGATCCAGTGGTGAACAAGGCACCACCTGCCCATGTGGAATTCACTGCTGGGTGAGGCAAGCATGGATCAGGGGACAGAGTGGCTGGAAGAGAAACCAGGAGGCTTTTGGAATAATCCATTTTGCAAGTACTTGTTGAGTGCTACAGTATGCTAGGTACTGGGATGTAGCAGTGAACAAAACAAGCAAAAACAATCCCCCCGTAGGGCTCAGAGTCTAGTGAGGGAGACAGGCATTAACGAAGAAGAATGAGTAAATTACATAGTGAGTCAGATGGTAATAAGCGTGAAGGAGAAGTCAGTACAGGGAGGGAGCAATGGAAGGGGGTGGCAAAAGCTAGCCTTCCTGAGGGGGCCCTTTGACTCAGACCTGACGGAGATGAGGGCACAAGCCACATAGGTACCTGAGGGCAGAATATTCCTGGCTGAGGGAAAAGCAAGAGCCAAAGCTTCAAGGTCAGAGGTGCCTGCCTCGATGGAGGAACGGTACTGGAGGGCCTGTGGCTGGCAGGGAGTCAGGGAGGGAACAGCAAGAGGGGACAGATGGAGTTGGGTGACATGGGCCAGACTCTGGCTTCTCTGAATGATGGGGGAAGCTGTTGGGGTTTGAGCAGAGCGTGACGTAATCGGTCCTAAATTTTAATGAGATCACTCTGGGCACAGTAAGGATAGAAGCAAGGAGACCTGTCAGAGGGTACTTCTCGTGGTGGTGGCGGAGTTGGGAGAAATGACAGGACTTAAACTAAGGAACGAAGAATCAGGAAGCTAAGAACGTTAAAGGTAAGACTGACAAACCCGAAAGTGAGGCATCAAAAATAACTCACATTTTCTCTTTCAGGTAATTGGGTCATTAAATGAGATTTTTATTTTATTTATTTATTTTTTTAATACTAATTTATTTATTTATTTTGTGAGGAAGATCGGCCCCGAGCTAACATCTGCCAATCCTCCTCTTTTTGCTGAGGAAGACTGGCCCTGGGCTAACATCCATGCCCATCTTCCTCCACTTTATATGGGACGCCGCCACAGCATGGCTTGACAAGCGGTGCGTCGGTGCGTGCCCGGGATCCAAACCCGCAAACCAAGGGCCGCCACAGCGGAGCATGCGCACTTAACCGCTTGCGCCACTGGGCCGGCCCCTTAAATGAGATTTTTAAATGTTGTTTGATGTGTCTATAAGAAATATTCGTGAAAATGTCTCATAGACTCTTGAAAATATCAATTGAAAGTTAAGGAAGCCTAGGCTCCTGGTAACAGCTTTGAAGGTAGTTAAAACCACAAGAGCACGTGAGAGGATTCCCAGGGCAAAGGCTCCTAACCTCTTTTGGGTCTCCATGAGAAGCTTATAAAAGTACATCTATGCTCACAAAATGTTACATCAGAGCCTTCTTGGGCTTCCAAAAGAATCTTCACAGACCTCTGCCTCTTGGGGTGCCTGTGTAATCTACCCTGAGGAAGTGTCTGGGTTTTGGTAGGCTTTTGGGCATATCAGCTCACCCGGCCCTGGGAGAGCAGTGGGCAGAGTTTCCAACAAGCTGGCTTTTAATTAATGTTGAAATTCAGTCAAAGTTCTTTTATCTGATTGTTCTTGGTTAAAATAAGAGGGGAAACCATAGTGCTAACCCAGGGTATAAACCTCTCATGACAACCCACCGGGCCCAGATAAGCTCCTTGTACCCCATGGGTTTGCAGATCTGCACTAGTTAAGGCTAGCAGCCATAACAGATAAATCCTGAAATCTCAATGGGTTAACCCAATAGAATTCTTGCTCAGTTGGCTGAGACGGAGACTCTGCTCCATACCATTATTCAAAGACAGGCTGACAGGGGCCCTGCCTTCCTCAGATAGCTCACAAGTTGCCTTGGACATCAACATGCAACAGGTACATGGAGGAAGAGAGAGACAGGGTCCCTCATGGGAGGCTTTTATGGACCTGGCCTGGTAGTGATACAGAGCACCTGCATCCACATCCCACTGGCCAGGACTTATATTGCAGCTGAGGTTGGGAAATGTAGTCTGGCTGTGTGCCCAGGATATAAAGGAAACATTTGGTTTATGTTTGGTGAACAGTTAGTTGGTTTTGGATGTACAAGGGCACATGCAGACCAGACATCTCCAGGATCCCTGAGAGCTCATCCCTTCTTGCCCTGGGCTCTGCAGGGTGTTTCAGCTATCCCACCTCTGTGCTGGGCTCAGTACTCAAGTCCCCTCACATTCCAGCCCAACTGATCTTCTCTGAGTCTCCTCTGCCCCTTCCCAAGAACCCTGAGCCCCAACCACACACTCCTTTCCCTCATGGAGACCCACCCTTCCCTTTGCCTTCACTGAACCTTCTGCCTGGAATCCTGTGCCCTTTCTCAGCCTCTCAAACTCCTACTCTTCCCTGAAGCTGCCTATATTACCCATCAGTTATTCCTGATTCATGTTTTTCTTGGGTGCTATAAATCAGCTCTAGGAAGTCTAGATGGAATGGTTGGAAGCATGCAGAGTGGCTCACAGGTGGGAAGGGACAGCCAGAGAACCAGGTTGGGAAGGGGCAGGAACCTGGCAGCTTGGGGAAGGGGTGTGGCCTAGGCAGCAGACTCCTGAATAGATAGGTGAGTACTCACTCTGTGCCCAGAACTGTCTGGCTCAACTCTAGCTATTTTTCCTGGTCTGCAATCAGGCTGCTAAGGATCAGAATTCCTGAGAGGAAATTCAGGGTCCTAGGTTTGTCAGGAATCTCAAACAACAGGTGTTCAAAGTGTTCAAAACTGAAGTTACCAATCTTCCAAATTGGCTTCTCTCCCACTTTTCTCATCTCAGCCAGTGGTATCATCCTCCATCGACTAACCCATTCCCTTTCTCCCTCACTTCCCACGTTACCAAGCAAGCCCTGTCAACTCTTCTAAATCGCTTGACTCTGTGTACTTCCCTCCACCATGACCACCACCTCCCTTGTCCACACCTCCACTATCACTCACCCAAACAACAGCGACAGCCTGCTCCATCGCTGTCTTCTGTGCAGCAGCCTGAGAGACCTCTTCACCATGTCATTCCTCTGCTTACCACCCTTCTAAGGTGCCCCTCACCCTCTAAATGAAGACTGAGCCCCTTAGACTGGCCTATATAGTCTGGAGTGATCTCTCTACCTCTTCTGGACCAAGCTTTATGTGCAGCCCCTCTAGGGTTGAGCAGCTCTCTCACCTGTCCTTGCTTGGTGATTTGTGCTTTTACTGCCTGGAGGCCAGCAGCGCCTGGCAGACCTGGGCTGGAACCAGTGCTCACACTTCCCAGCTGCAGTACCTGGGCCCCAACTTCAATTCCTGAGCCTCAGCTTCCTCCTCTGTAAGACATGCAACCATGTTGGCCATGCATGGTGGTTGTGAAGACTGAAAATATTGGGGCACTCGGCCAGTCATTCAACAAATGTTTACTAGCACCTGCTGTGCCAAGTGCTGTCCTGGACACAATGGTCAAGCAGACAGACAGGGCCCTGTGTGCCTGGCCTTATGCCCGAGGAGCCAAGGAGAGGATCACAACTGTCAGCACTGGAGGTGCCCCCCATCTCAGTTCTACTCTCCCTCAACCTCAGCCCTTCCTCAGTCCAGGCCCTTGGCCCATATGAGACCATGAGGCCCACATGCGAGACCAGCAGGGGTCGGGTGCAGTCACGTGCTCGCGCCCCCGCCCCTTCCGCTCCTGGGGACTAGCCAATGAGGGCAAGAGGCCAGCTCCGGGGGCGGGTCTGGTAACTGAAAGGGGCGGGGCCTCCATCCGTCGAGACGCCTCACGCCTCCGGCGGTGGTGGCGCCGACAGCAGAGCAAGACCTAGAGCAGGCAGACCAGGAGGTGAGCTCCCTGCGTGACCGGCCCGGGGCCACGGCGTTTCCGGCCTGTGCCCTTCGCCTCGCGCCAGACCCTTCACCCCCGACTCCTCACCCCTCTCTCCGGACTCTCACCTCTGTCTCCTCACCCCGCACGCCCCGACCGCTCACCCCGGTCTCCTCACCCCGGTCTCCTCACCCCGCACGCCCCGACCCCTGACCCCGGTCCCCTCACCCCACACGCCCCGACCCCTCACCCCGGTCTCCTCACCCCGCACGCCCCGACCCCACACACCCGTCTCCTCACCCCAGTCTCCTCCAGTCCCCTCCTGCGCATCCTGGACTCCACACACCCTGGACCCCTTGTCCCACACACCCTGAGCCTCTCACCTGTAACCCCCCACACCTGGGACTCCTGGAGTCCACACACCACACACCTTGAATTCCCTCACATCTTCGCGCCAGGAGTGGTCCCAGACCCTCATCCCCCTCCAACTCCAGGACTCTCACGCCACACGTCACACACTCACACACACCCTCCTCGCAAAGGATCTCTGATCCAAGTGCCCTCTCATCCACTCACATTTCTCATTCCGAGAGAGATCCCAGATTCTATTACACTCTTCATACCAGGCCAGACCCTTAGACCACAAGCAGGACCCCAGACCTCTGCATTCCGTACACCTCCTAATTCCTCAGTCCCCATGACCCCAATTCCCTCAAGCCCTTCACACC